ACACTCGAAAGCTACGGTTAAACAATAAAAGTTTTGTACATTACACGGGACAACATCCGTACTAATACATCATGCAACTTTATGGTCCCGTAAGAAAAAGTTACGTCTTCAAAACTCGTCAAAGTTTAAACGAGAAGTTTAAAGTGGCACACTTTAACTTTAAAGTGATAAACACGCTTTTTTTGAAATGTGAAATTGATGCTCAGGTTCTCAGGGTTTAAAGTGAGCACTAGATAGTTGCGGAAGGATAGCACCGGAACAATGCTACGTTGCTTTGCTGCTGTCCAATACTGCGCCAACTAGTCACGTCCAAAGTGACATAATCTCCACTGAACATACGCAGACTGTTTGTCTAATCATTGTACCCTATGAAAAGTACCTGACAACTATTTACGCAGTATTAGGTATTATTAGTAATTCAGACATTACTGAAAGCACACAAGAGGAAGTGGGCAACTTACATATCGATTATTCTTTACTTTGCGTGATTCATTTGATTATACACGCGCGGACCCAATTACTCCCTAAAGCTCTGGCATTCTGTATTTTAATTGTCAATGTCAGGTAACGTTATGAGTGCTAGGAAGGCCAAAAGGTAAAGCTCGTATTAGTAACCTCATTTAGGCAAAATGTAGCGTTGGCGAACGCGTTTGCCATATGCTCTACGTTGTCGTGCTTCAAAGCCGCATACCCATTTCTGAAGGCCGCTGGTTTGATGCATCAGTATTCAGCGACGCTTGCGCATTTACCCAATCCAGAAAAGGAACTCATTGAAGAACTAATAGTAGGTACAGGCTTAACTATCTCTTAAGCTATTTCAACAATTCAATGACCGTATATGGAAAAAAGATGTCGACGTCGCGTCTTAAGGAAAAAGAGTACTTGTTTAGGAAGAAGTTCAGCGATCCTCTGAATCAAGCAGTTCTCTCCTTCACTGCACAACCGCTCTTATTCAGACCTATTGCAGTCAGTTCAAATGTCCTGCCGATGAAACAGTAAGCTCACATTTGTAATATTCTACTGTTTTCGGGATTCCTTTTTCACCGGTTCGAAATACGCAGATGATCACAAAAATCCTGTCGCTGACAACAGACAACAGTAGAAAGGAAAAGGACAATGGAATATTGAAAGCACTTGGAAATATGCGGAACATACAAATTCCTCAATGGGAGGAAAGCCTGTGCTCCAACAATGGTACTAATGAGGAGATGCTGTCACTTTTTGCTCAGGGATCATTGACGACACTGAACCCACAGGTACTCGAGTCAGCGTAGGTGATGTGAACTGTTGCCCATTGGAGTTGTCTTAGTGCAATGCCGAACGGATGTTTCGTAATTTAGATCGATAGAACGTTAAGGAGAATAGCGACAAACACGTGCCCCACTCCTCAATCATTGTCGCGTAGAGCATTAGCGGCTAAAATTCTAATAGACAAAAATGGACTGGAAAATTTGCTGCAACACTTTGATTGCAAAAAAGGAGAAGAGGAAAAAGAGCTTTGCGCCCTTATGCTTGCATACGTTAAAAATGACTGGAAAACAAACGATAAGGACAGGTAAGCAAATTATACTTGAAGCGAACTACAACATGCTGGCAAGTTGCCAACAATGTTGGATTTTAACTGTTTTTGGAAAACGGTTATTTTAGACAAAAGCTTAATCGAGTCATAGCTACGTTGGGTTGGGACCTTTACAGCAACTTAACTATCGCCGCTTTGTCGACCTACGCGTCACGATTGTTGTTTGGTAGTAATGCCTTAAACAACTTGAAAACATTCTTACCTTTTCTTGATTAAGAGCAGCACACCAAAGAGCTGTCGTACAATTTGATTGCGTTGTTCGAAGAGTCCGTTATCAGCGAATCGTCATTCGATATTTTTGTTGAAGAAGATGGTTGGAAGAATTCTCTCATTTCGGTATGTTGTCTTCGTCTGACTAATCTACGTCAGTAGGATATAGCTTGTATCCATATAAGCTGGGCATCACATCTGAAGGGCTGCAGAATGTACTTGCTCGGCATATGGTAGAAAATGCAACGGAATCCACCAATAAGGCCAAACCCAAACTTGAGGTGCACTCTTCGCTCTTCTCCGTGCACCAACCATCCATCGTCGCTTTCAATGACGACGACTCCATGTTCAACATAGTCTGGCAAGCTGATGGTACAACGAAAACGTTGGTAGATTTCGTGGCTTCTTTCCAAACTACCGATATTTCACTGCCGCTAAGCAACGGGTTGCTTCTCTGCATTCGCGTAGACGCAGTAATTCAATTCTTCATATCCGGTTCACTTTACGTGAGCATTTGGTATTCTACTGCCAATGTTGACGTGAAAGCAAGGTAAGTCAAAACGCGGCGCCAAAAGAAAAAAGCAAAGCCTTCCCCTTCATCATTTCTAGTTTCCCCGTACTTCTACAAACCAAAATGACACTGCGTAGCATGGAGAAGCGGTCAACTTACTGGCAGTACAATTCGACGCTGCAACTTGAGCCAAGTCTGCAGTCAACAGCCGATTTGGACTTCGCAACCGTTCCAATGAAGAGTTGCATCCAATTCAATTCGGAACCTTTCCACATCAGGTTGGTAGAGCTCAATTTACAAGCTCAGAAAGGAAAAATCAGCTTGCTTGTAATGGGCACAGAACTGTGTTGTCTTCTCGTCCATGCATGATACAACCTTGAAAATTGTCAAGGAAAAAAGGGCAGGGAACAAAACCAATTCGTTTTCAATTCAACCAAATCTCATTAGAGCAACGAGAAAAACAGGGAGAATCAGAAAATGATAATGAAATTCATAAGTTAACGTATATTTAATGATTATCAGGTGACACCTAAAAGTCCCTCTTCAAGCCCAGTCTTTCGGCGATCCTGAGCAGTTTTTGGCATTTTAAAGAATTTAAAATAACTAACAGCCTTTTTGCGTCTCATACTAAACGTTCCAACAGCAAACAATTGAGTATGACTTAAGCGTTAATATTTAAATTTTTCCGCCCGTAAAAATCTCAGTCTTTCAGTTTAAATTAGTTTCAATGCGACAGCTAGCAGGAATTGAAGGATCAAGGATGATGAAATTCACAAAGTAACGTAGCCATACTGATTAACAAGTATAGTTTATATTAATCCGTTTTTTAAACCAGTATTTCGGTAATTCTAAGCACCGCGACTACATCTGCTCCCAGTACATAATGCTGGTACTATATTTCTAAGCATTTAAAAATTGGCATGCTTCTTGGCTCAACTAATACATTATTGTGATTTCCAAAATTTATGCCGCTATAAAAACTTTGTCTGCGCTCCTCAATGAGCTAAAATTGCTTGAATTAGCAACTTGGTACACCAGACAGGCGTGAAGCCACATTAAACTGAAGCCATAGAAACCTGCATTTTCGCTGATTTTGCGAGGTTGCAGTAAGACTGGTGGGCCCTTAACAGAAAAGATACAGACAATTTCCACGAACTAAGTTTACCGTCGAGTCCTTTTACCCACAGACCCGCAAACGAAATGCAGGTTCTTTCAGGGAAAAAGGCTGACTGTTCTGCTCTGCTCTCACTGTCAAGCACGAGCGCCATACCGTTACGCCCTTACGTAAACCCAAGTCAAACTGTAATCTTTACGTTTCGGTTAAGGCATACATTAGGGCAGAACAGGATGACCAGCACAGCTATGGTAAGGCGGTGGGTTACTGTCGGTTTTTGTTGCCACCCACCCCGTTTTGTCCTTACGTTTAGGTTTAGGGGTGGAGCAGGATACCCA